TTCTTCAAATATTTCCAGAGTCTCTTCTTCTTTCTTTTTTTCTTATTTTCAGGTACATCAATTTTCATGGTTTCTGATAATCGTAGTTCTTTTATTTATTTGTTCTTGGAGAAGCCACTTTTGTTCCTTTTAGAGAATGTAATGGAGTTTTAAGAATACTAGATGTCGAATTAATGCTTAATTTTAGAAATAAGATGATTGTTTATAGGATTAAACTATTGAATAGTCGCGACTTAAATCTACTAGATCCATATACCATAACTCTTGAATTTTGATCGTAGCTTTCTTTTTGGTTAATACGTTACTTCTCATATATATATGTATGTATAAGAGTTTGACTCCAATTCTAATAAATTTTTGGAATGATTTATTATGCAGAGGGAGTTTTTGAGACAAAAAGGCTATCTGGAGATGAATTTCACAGAAGCTATGAATGTTGTGCACAACAGAATCCAACAACTTGAACCAGAGAATGCATCAAAGATCATCGGTTATCTCTTGTTGATGCAAGACCACAACGATCGTGACATGATCCGTCTCGCTTTCTGTCCAGATTCCGTGATGTGTTCCATGATCAATTGTGTTAAACATGAATTGGCTAAAAAATCATGTTACCACATTCCTTCTTCTGATCACATTCAAATCCACAAATTCGGATCATTTACCGGTTCATCAACTCAGTCTCTCTCAGTTTCCTTCTCTCCTCCTTCGGTTCTCTCCACGAGAACCGGTTTTTGGGAGAATTCGAAAGAGGTGGATTCATTGCAGAACAATGTTGAGTTCTTGAATTTTCAAGATTCTATGACAAACCCTGAATTCTCAACCGGTTTCTTCTCTCACAAGAAACAAGGTTTGCCTTCGAGAACAAGCAGGAGGTCCCCGAGTTTACCCGAATTTCCTTTCAAAATCTGCCATTACTTCAACAAAGGGTTCTGCAAACATGGCAACAATTGTAGGTATTTCCATGGACACATGGTATCGGAAAGAGAGAGTTTTGCTCAGATGTTTAATCCAAACAATAACCTAAGCGATGAAGATCATGTTGTTTCCCCTGGATCACTTGAGAAGCTAGAAGAAGAGATCATTGAGCTGCTCAAATCAAGAAGAGGCGCTCCAATTTCCATAGCTTCATTGCCTATGATGTACTACGAGAAGTACGGTAGGACTCTTCAAGCTGAAGGATATCTAACAGAGTCACAAAGACATGGTAAAGCTGGTTATAGCCTCACCAAGCTTCTTGCTCGCTTGAAGAACACAATCCGCCTCATCGACAGGTTAATATAGTTACTTACCATTTCAATATAGAAACAAAGAGTGTATAATTTATGTATTGTTTCGAGAAATGGTCTTTGAATTTTGTAGGCCTCATGGACAGCATTCGGTTATACTTGCGGAAGACGTATCAAAATTTGTCGAATACACAGGAGAAAGAAATGAACATGGAGCGATCCTTGCTGGTTCTAGACTGATTTACCTAACATTTCCGGCAGAGAGTAGTTTCACTGAACATGATGTATCAAACTACTTCTCCAAATTCGGACCAGTGGAAGATGTGAGGATTCCTTGTCAGCAAAAGAGAATGTTTGGATTTGTGACTTTTGCTTACACCGAAACCGTCAAACACATTCTTGCTAAAGGCAATCCTCATTTCATTTGCGGGGCTCGTGTTCTCGTCAAGCCTTACCGAGAAAAACCACGGTCTAGTAGATACCTTGACAATAACAAGCCTTTGCAAGACATGCGTTATGGCTCTCAATACATTGACATAGACACAGAGATGAACAATTGTTAGTACATTCTCAAAACCTTTTCTTTTATTCGTATATATATATGTACTAATCTTGGCTTTGCCGTTTCATTTATTAGCT